TAAATATAGTTTTTTTAAATTTCTACATTCTTGAAGACCTTCAATTTTCTATTTTAATAAAAGAGATTTAATAGTGTTAACATATATTCTGTCACTGATTCTTCTAATAAAGTTGGTTTTTAAATACATTTTCTTTTAAATGTTACATTTAGTTGCAAAATCAATATTCAGCAAAATGGCCCAATATTTTTAGAAGGAATATATGATCCCTCCACCAAAATATGACTATATTTAATTTTGCATATTTTCCTTAAATTTTAATCAATTCTATTTTTCAATTCTTAATTTTTTAAAGAATATAAAATGGTAATAGAAAAAGACAGCACTAGAAATGGTAGAAAATTTCACTAAACAAAGTAATAGGATTTGAAAAATGGATTTTGCATTGTACAATGTTACCTTCAAATTAGTCGCTTAGGTTACCAGATAGGAAATGTACAAGATTGGTTTAAAGAAGAAACAAACTGAAGCAATAACAAAAAAAGTTATAACAAATTCAAAAGAAAAAACAGAATAAAAGAAAAAAAATTAAGCATTAACTTCTCCTTTCAAAAGACCACTGGAAATCAGCACTACAATTATCAAAACTATCCTGCATATGTACATAAATATATCTTCGTCTCTTCTTTCTTTTGTCCTTCTCCTCAGCCCAGGTTCTCCTTCCCATTAAACAAATTCTTTTCCTTTCCCAGTATCATCTCTATTTTTTTATATATAGTCAGAAAATATATAATGTTTTGGGCTTTTTAAAACTTAAGGCTATCTGTAATATTTTCATAACCTTTCACGTTATAATATGTAATGATTGAAAAATATTCCATAATGCTTATAATTTTCTTTAAAATTATACTGACTGAATTACATGAACATAATTCATGAGTAAATGAATTATTATGAGTGAGTTACATTGAGTGAAGTGTTAATTTACATTAAATTTTTGGGGGTATCATAAATAATACCGCAGCAATTAGCTTCACATATAGTTGCTTCCTGCTGTTGAATAACTTTCTATGATAAAATTTTTGAACAAGGATTTCTGAGCCAAAAAGTATGTACATTCCTGTGGCTCTCAAATGTTCCACAATATTGTTGTTCAAGACAGATGTCTGACTCATAGTGTCTACAAGAATGGGCTAATTGTACTACTAAGCAATACTGGCTATGATATGATTGGATTTAATTACTAAAAAGTAGAATGTGTTTGTTGTGATTCCTTATTTCTACTTTTTCCTTTGTGCAAATCACTTTATATCTTTGCCTTTTGATTTGTTTCGGTCCATACCCCCATGCATATATTTTAAGAAATTATTATTCCTAAGGCAAGAATTCAGAAGATACTCCATTTAAGATTATATGTTTAACTTACCTCTATGTAACACTCAGCAATCCAAAGTTCTTTAAGCTGCAAACAAGTCTCTAATCCTGAAATTTCTTTTATATCTTGAGCAACAATTGTGAGACTCGTTAAACTAGGAAATAATGATAATCCAACTATACAAGGATAGCCTGAAAAAAACATCTCCAGTTTTGAAGCAGCTGATCCTTCTTGTCCAACAATCTCATAGGATAACCCATTGCATAAACACTGTTTTAAAAGAAAGAAATTGAATTTTTATCTACTTTAAGCAAAAAAGACATTTGTCATTAGAAATCACAGACTGTCCTATACATTGATCCCTTTTTTTGTACTCCAGCAAAAGAGAATGTTGTATCACATATATGATTTGTCTGTATTCCCAGAAGTCTTGGGGCATAAGAAATTTCCTGTTAGCCTCAGAAGGGCTGATTAAAATGTTCTATTTAATATGCTTGCAAATGTGATTGACAAGAAATTTGCTTTGACTCACCAGTTCTTTAATTATTTCTTCTTGGTTTAGGTTTTCACTTTCAAACATCTTCTAAAAATAGTGGTCATAATATATCTGTCAAAACAATGAAAAATTTAAATCTTAGAGTTCTCTTCTTCCATGTTGAAAGTGTCCATAAAGCTATGAAGCTTGAACTACCTACTGTGGCTTGACATCAAAACACAAAACATATTACCAAGAACTGTCTGAAACCTGAAACTCATTATACTTCTGAAGTAATTCTGAAAGTAATTC